ACCCCCCCCCCCCTGCCTCTCCCACTCCACTTTGTACCTGAATCTAAGACTAGGGTCTTTTTTCCCATATTGAACGGGGGACAAAACTTTGTCTTGGATGCAAGTAAATATGGCAGCTGGTATTAATTGGTGGTGTTCTATGAAAGTCAGTTTACTAGCTCAGATTTGGGCCAAGAAAGGATCAGACTCATGAGCTATGTTCTGCTTTTGCAAATTCACTTTTGATGCTTTTAGAACTACATCTACATGTCTGAGTAGCACGGGACACTTGTATGAAAAGATCTCAGTGCAGGATTAATGCATGCCTTTTGTTTCTAGAACATTGTAGCCTACACCTTGTAAATACAAGGAAAATGCTAAACTTTACTCCCCTGGGTACTCCCATTGACTTCAACACAATAACTTCAGTAAAATAACAGTGTTTTACCTGAATAAAATAAAACATGTACATTTGCAAGATCTGACCCTAAATTTATATTTTCTGAGAAGCTTCCCAAGTGCAACTTATATCTGGTTTTCTTTCTCTTCCTCTCTTTCCTTATCTTTGTCCATTTTGCTTTACCTTTGTTTTTCTTTCCCACTGTCTTCTTCACCCTGAATCTCTATACCTGATCTCAGTTCCCTTTCCCAGTAGCCTTTCTTCTCTGTCCTCTGTTCCAGTTTGTCTGTTGTTCGTGCTCCTTTTTTCCTTCCCCAGCCTGCCGCTTCAACTCCCCCATATTTTGTTACGGTTCCCTCCTCCCCAAACATTCAAATAGAAACACCTGCGGTATATACCCCACCCCGGTTATATTTTGGTAGCATAAACCGCCTTTCCTCTGACTGATGAGGAAGAAGTTTATGTGAGGAGAAAAATAATCCAAAATTACATGGCGTGAAGCCTTAGGAAGCAGTAGAAGATGTGTATACGTTTTGACAATATTTTTGTAGGAGCGAACAAGAGCTCATATTCCCATGCTTAGGGCCACCTGCTACAAAAACAAAATCCCACTTATATTTGTTTTGGCAGCACAAGAGGGAGACGCTGAAGATGACAAAATATGTGGAGCTTGTTATTGTGGCAGACAATCGAGAGGTAAGAAAGCTTTAAAGAAAAGATGTAGTTGGTACAGGGAGAATTGGTGGGCTGTTTACTTCAGTTTCGTGACACTGCAAATAACGTTATGTGCTTGAGAGAACAGTATCGTGGATTGCAAAAACGGCACTTTTTATCTAACTAGGGCTCAAATACTGAAAAGGACTATTAAAAATAGTGCAAGTGTGATAGGAATTTGTACAAAAGCTAGAACTGTCCTTGCAACACTTTAAAAGGAATTTAGTATTCACAAACATCTGGGACCTCTTGTGGTAATTAAAGCAAAGGCTCATAAGAATTCACTTATTATGACCCAGTAATGTGGCTGTGCCTTCATTGCACTCTTTAACTTGGGCCACAAGAGACTGTCACTGTATAGAATAAACTGCAAAATTTAGGGCTTTTTGGCTGCAGTTTGCCAATTATACTGAATTAAACAAGACTGTATGCACTGTTGAGAATTTGGAAATAAAGCTTCCAAACAAATAAATGAGACAGATTGTTGAAAAAATCCCAGTGGGTTGTA